CCACCACCAATAATTCAGTGGCAACAGAACATGCCTAGTGATCATTCAAACGTATCATGGCATCAGAGAACATAAAAAGTGGGTAGACAGTCACAAAATTCATTCATCCTCAACACAACATAAATAACTGTGAATATTGAGTTTGTATCTGTCAGGTAAACTCCCAAATCTCATCTTCACCTAGTGTTGGCAAGTTACAGGGAAGACATATGAAAGGAACCAGCATCCTTAGTCTACAGCTACAGCTTACACATTGACCAGATGGTACTTTCCTTTGCATGTGTTTAACCAGATGGTGGTGGAGGTGGCGGCGGCATAGACATGGGAGGCGGAGGCATTCCACCTTGTTGTGGCGGGGGTGGGGGTGGCATCCACATAGGTGGTGCTGACATACCAGTGGGAGGAGGTGGCGGCCTTACCATGCCAACCGGAGGGGGCATCATATTTGGTGGTGGTGGCCTCACTGGGAACCTGTACTGGAGTTGCGATGGCATGGGGGGCGCCATAGATTGTTGAGCGGCCCAAGCAGGTTGCCCGTGCATCTGCATTGGAGGGGGGAATTGTCCAACAGGTGGTGGAGGTGGTTGTCGCATGTGTTGAATCTGTCCCGGAATTGTGCCATTGCCATAAGGCCGTGGCACAGGCGGACCACCATTTGGAAGACCTTGGATCGGCGGACCACTTGCAAACATTGTGTGTGGCCTATTCTTCTGAGATCCTGGATTGTTTGCTGCCAGCAGTCGCTCTGTCAATGGTAAACAACATATTAGATCATTGTGACTAAAAATATTCATGAAGGAACTCTAGAATGTAAAAGGACAATTTAGTTGAAGAATTTCATATCTATCCTGTTTTAAGAGCTAAAATAACTTCTTTGCAAACTATAGCCCCTGTTTGGCAGAGCTTCAGCACAATTTTTTTAAAGCTGAGCCAAGCAGAGCTCAAGACCAAGAATGGAAATTTGACTTGGATATACACATAATACGATTTTCTTGGAGACCATTTGGGTTAGGATGAAATAAAAATATTGAGTGAACTGAAGAGTAACCCATGTGCTGGTTGCCAGGGAATCAACTGGATCAATTAGATTGTCAAAACACATTACCTGCTGGTGTGCCATGGCGCTCTCCTTTCGTGTCTTTCTTGTAAGCATAAGAGACAGTGATTGGCCGGTTGCATAAATGTTGGTTGTTCATGGCCTGAAAAATACAGCAGAGAAAGCTGCATGAAACAAATGCCAGACAGCCAGAACCACTGCAAATTGAAATACAGGAAATCAATGTGATGATTACATTACCTCTATTGCTTGATCAGATGATTCAAAGGAGTCATAGCTCACAAAGCCAAAGCCTCTAGAATTTCCAGTTTCAGGATCTCGCATTATCTTTGACAAAAGAAAAAGAAGATCAATAAATTACTGCAGGCGACAACTATGCTTCAGAAAATAACAGACGCTGCATACAGATGAGGTATTACTCCTAAAACCATCTCTAATTTTAGATGAGTTTATCTTAGGAACATGCACACATGGAGTTGCGCCCAGAATGCCCCAAAAAGATCTATGAGCAATATCAATCGGGATAATCGTTACCATGATTTTAGAGCTATTACTTTATTTTGGACAAATGAAAGCAGACAGTGCTATTAACTGATGAGCGCTTAATAATTTGAAATTGACTAAACACTGTTACACGCAAGTTCCAGTGACACAAGACCTTGAAAGTAATTGAATTATGAAATGTAAGTATAGTGAATTCAGTTTATTCTATGCGTAAACTATCACTTGTATTTGCTTCAGGCATTTATATAAGACTGCTGCTCGTAAATCAGATATTATGTTCACCTGTCGGCTGCTAGAAGCTAGATCATTAGCAGAAAACAACAAAGCAATATAACTTTGCATGATTCATGAAGATAAAAGCTACTGTGTGTCACCTTAGGATTAGTTACAATCACTCCAAATGCACTGAAGGTATCATAGAGGAGCTTCTCATCAACATCCTGTTAACAAAGCAAACATGGAAATATTACTCAGTATTCAGATGAACTGAAGGGCAGATAATAAAGAAAGTAGGATTTAGGCCTTCACCGGATCAAGATTGCCAATAAACAGATTTGCTCCAACGTCCAAGCTCTTCTTATCCTGGGAAGCCTGGAATAAGAAAACACAATCATGTTATGTTCAAATGATACTTGTTTTTTTCAAAGCCATAATGATAAAATACTAAAGATGAAGGGAAAATACCTTGTTTACTCTTATGGGCTTACCATATAGTTTGATCATGTTCAAAATCTTAATGGCCTGTGGGAAGCAAACAATTTAGATAAAAGGGTAACTAAATATGGATGTGGCGATCTGCTAGAGGAAATATAAAAGGTAAACTATGACTTCGCAAAATAATAGACTTACATAATCTGCATCTTCCTCGCTCCTGAATTCTACAAATCCATATCCCTGGTGTAAATTCGTAACTCTGTCTTTTGGGACATACACATTAACTACAAATGGAAGAATGGTAATTCTGTTAATAAAACCAAAAAGAAATGTATTTGTTTTGTATCCAAAATAAAAAACTTCAATTACATAATAATAACCATAAAAAACCCAAAAGAAACAAAGAATAAAAAATGCTGAAAGGCAATTATGCAACAAAACACACAAATGCTGTTATAGGGCAAGACAAAAGTGTTTCATACAGAAAAACTCTCATATCACTACAGAAAAATATATAAAGAAGTCCACTTACCAACAGGGCCTGCTTGGACAAACAATTCCCATAGAAGCTCCTCGGAAACCTATCAGATATGGAAGAAGTATCAGCATCAGTTCATGAATTTACAGAAACTGAATAAACAATATATGAACATATACTACAGGATGTTCATTGTTTCCTACACAGGAGAAGGAGCAAAGATGTGCTCCACCAGGTAACTGTCAATGTAATTCCTATGTCTATGTGTAATCCGGATCTATGGTTCTATTTGTATAGAGCGTACAGAGAAATTGATATGAATCTGAAAGGCTAAACAGCAATGTTCATCCCAACCTATAACAAATAAGCAGTACACTTTACATATAGTCTATATGTAATGTACTTAAACAACAACGATTGTAACATTACCACCTAGCGAAACACGCACAATTTTCCCAACAACCGTTCAATCGCAGTCTCATTACTTGTTAACATCTAGCGTTTGCCGTCACTCACGCTGTCCTTGCAATATGGTTGCGCCACCGCCACTGTACCTTCGATTAAGGAGCAGCGACTTACTCATCCGGTCACCAGTTCACACAAGTAATTCTGTGCTTCAGGGATATTCTATCGTGGGCGGGGACCTACTAAGGGTCGCAATAGCGAGAGGTTGTGGGGAACCCTAACCTGAGGGTCGAGGTTGCCGACGTAGGTGGTGGCGTCCTGGTTGCGCTCCGCCGAGTGCTGCCCGAGTAGGTTCGCGCCCACGCCCGGCGCTATGCGGGTCGTCATGGCTGGCTGGCTGGCCCCTCCGTCGCCGCTGCAAGGCGCGGCGGGGTCACTGGATGGCGGCGGAGAGTTGTGGCCGGGGCGCGGAGCGACGCGGCGGTGCCGAGGTGAGGTTTTGGTTGAGGCTCTCGGGTCGGGCCAGAGTCTCTTGCTTACTGGCCCAGTTCCCAGCTCGAGTCGGTGAGGAGATGGCGGTAAGTAATTTTGGGCCAGGCTGTTAGCACCATGGTCCATGGGCCTTCCAAATGTTTAAAGACGACCCGAAATGAAGAAGATAAAAAAATTTGCTGCTCTGGAAAAAAGATAAAGCAAAAAAAAAAAACACCAACTAACCTACATAGTATATTTCAATTGAAAACCTAAAATATTTGGCTGAAAGATAAAAAAACAAGTTAAGAGAAGTTGCACTCCAATTCATTGCATAATGGCTACAATAGTTGCATGTGGTGAGGTTGTTTAGTTTAACGAACGAGGCTAGTACGAATCTTCGGAGCACCATTTAGCAGGTTTAATAACATTGAAATACATTTTCAAAGTTCATGTACCTAAGTGTCACCTCTCGACAGTTGTAGAGACTTCTTATGCGTTTAACTCTTGTTTTAATGTGATTTTTATTGCAATCCAGATATCTTATTTCCATCCTTTTATCCTATATTTTTATGCTAAAATATGCGGCTTATAAATAGTTAGTGTGTGCTGCTTTTTCTATGTTTTGCAAAAAATCTAGCAGGCTAACTCGCTCTTATATATACAGTGGTCTTGAATGCTTGTAATATTTAATGAATCGATGATTCTCAATTTTGATTTTAAACCTACACTAAAATGTGGCTTTACCAGCCAGATGTTAATATACATGTAATCACGGATTAATTCAAGCACGGTGATTCCTAGACAGCCATGGACCTTTTCATTTATTATGCATGATATTTATTTGAAAGAAGAACTGACTTTTTTTTCATTTGAATTTTGTGTGTTCATAGCAATACATGCATATAAGGCAGGGCCTGGTAAAAAAAAAGAATATTATTGAGTAGATCAATTTCTGACCATGGTTGTGACTTAAGTTTACGCATGTATATAACATAACAGTATATAAGGCAGGTCCATCCTCCTTCTGATTCGCCACTGGCCAATTGGACAGGATCTCCATTTACATGCGACAATCTTGAAAGTTGAAACGGAGCGCGCGGAGGAGATGCTTCAGGCTCCGTAAGGATACTGTAACGGTGGGGCTGTGTCATCATAGTAAAATCTGCCGCATTTGGTTTAATTAATTAATTAATTGGATTCGCCTGCACAATTACTCCAAGAATGGCAGGCAACGATCCTTTCCCCATATCTTTCCATCTGAACCAGATAATAAATGCGTATTCATTTTCGCTGCAACTGCAAAATTCCAATCGCCACTTCCCCTCAACCACCGCTCAGGGCACAGGCGGACGGCGCAGGGCTGCACGGCACAGGCGAGCACCTGCGCGGTTTTCAGCTGGGTCTTTCGACAGCCTCAGATCAGCGGCCATGCCCCGAGACATGGGCATCACCGTCGTCGTCCTGGCGTGCAGCGTAGTAGTGGCCATAGCTGCGGCTGCGTTCTTCGTCGTGCTGAGGGCGCTGAGGCGGTCGATGGCACGCGAGGCGTCCCTGCGGGCAAACCTCGTCAGGCAAAATGACGCGCTGCGGCAGGCGGAGCGCAAGAGCCTGAACAAGACCAACGCGTTCGCCGGTGCCAGCCACGACATCCGGTCGGCTCTGGCGGTGATCACGGGGCTCGTAGACGTGTCCCGGGTGGAGGCCCAGACGAACCCGCAGATGATGCATAACCTCGAGCAGATGGACGTGTGCACAAACAAATTGCTCGGTGAGTTGGTGTATTCTGCAGTGAATGACTTCTGAAAGCCACAAATCTTTTGGCACTAGGATAGAATCATAGAATACCACACTTATTTACAGCCATCATAGTTCTAGTTGTTTATGATAGAATGCCACAGTTATTTACACTGCAATGCAATGTGATTCTTTTTTTTTTTCTGTAGGGATACTTAACTCGATACTAGACACAAGCAAGGTGGAATCTGGAAAGATGCAGCTAGACGAGGCCGAGTTCAGCGTAGCAAATGTTCTGGAGGAGTCCATGGACATGATCAACATTGTAGGTCTGAGCAAAGGGCTGGAAGTGGTCTGGGATCCCTGTGACTTATCTATCCTGTGTGGGAACGTAGTAGGGGACTTCAGGAGACTCAAACAGATTCTTGACAACGTACTCGGCAATTCCGTGAAGTTTACTCAGCAAGGGCACGTCGTTCTCCGTGCCTGGGCAAATAGGCCTATTATTGCAAGGAGCTCAGTCTGTGTTCCTTCAAGATTTGGCTGTTCCAATTTTTTATGCCTGTTCAAGGGAAGAGAACATCGCAAGGATTGTTGTTCGTTCAGCTCGATCCAGAATGATCCCGACTCGGTTGAGCTGTACTTTGAAGTGGATGATACTGGCATTGGAATCCCAAAGGAAAAGAGAGAGTTGGTGTTTGAGGACTATGTTCAGGTTAAAGAAGGGCAAGGAGGAACTGGCTTGGGGCTTGGAATTGTTCAATCATTTGTAAGTTTTATATATGTATTTCCATTGTTGAAATTCCATTTTTCAGATATCTAAATATATCAGTTCTCTTGAAAAATTAGTGAATTTTATTTCATATATGTATTGTTTAATTAATATAGGTCCGTTTGATGGGAGGCGAGATTAGCATCAAGGACAAAGGGCCTGGTAAAACAGGGACCTGCATTGGGTTCAATGTGTTTATGAAGATGGGTGGAATCCATGAACAACAACATGACATAGAAGAAGGCAGTTCAAGTAGACAATGCTGTATCAGAGCCTCTGCCTTAAGAGAGGCCAATAGTAGCTTTGAGGGTGGACACTGCATGCTTCTTGTTCATGGCGATGAAACGCGAAGGGTACTGCAATCTTGGCTGGAGAATCTTGGGATGAAAGTTTGGCTAGTCCCACAACTCGAGTCCCTTGCTTCTGTTCTCGAGAATGTCTGTCATGATAGTAGTACATCTCTGTCAAGGACATCGGCGGACAGTTTCGAATGCCACGCAGACTTCTGTTTCAGATCCAGAGACACGGTTAGCCAAATACTCCCTGTTGCACTGAAGAGCAGCAGTAGCTTCAAAAGATCAGGCGCCTTTGGAGTCCACTGGTCTGGTGCTCTAGTCTTCATTGATGCACACTACGGCAAGATGGAAAACATATGCACGGAGGTGAACTTCCCTGAGATCAAGAAACAAATGCCATGCAAGATTGTTTGCCTCGTCGACGCGAATACCTCTTCTGGTGATTTGGGGAGGCTGAGGCACCACACTTGCTGTGATCTTGTCCTGCAAAAACCAATCCATGGGTCTCGGTTGTATGCTCTCCTGAACACCTTGAGGGACCTCCAAATGGCACAGGCCCATCATCACCCATCTCATGTTAGTCCTGAAAATGCCGAGACCAGAATGCCGGGAGGGTCATCAGGGGCTGGCAAATCAGCCGTGGTTGCGCTCGCACGGTCGTCTTCGGAACCAAAACGGGACGGCGACAAATCATTGACCGGAAGGCGTGTGCTGTTAGTGGAGGACACTTTGACTCTGCAGACGATTGGGAAGAACATACTGTACCAGCTTGGAGCAGACGTTGAAGTAGCAGAGGATGGAGCCAAGGCTGTCAGCATGTTCGAAGCTGCTCTTGCGCAAGTCGCTGGCTCACGAACGGGTGCAGCAGCGTCCACTCCCTATGATGCTATCCTTATGGATTGCCAGGTCAGTTATCGACAAGAACCCTACAGTTAGCACCGCATTTCTTCTGGCCCCGTTCACGTGTCCTTCGAGTCGACTATGATTTTCTTTTTTTATCCAGAATAGTATTTTTTCTTACATAAATTTTTTTAGCATTCTTCCAAACCATCTAAATTCTTCCAAAATTCTTCCAAACGAACAGACCCGTACTGTCAGTTCACAAATTACTTTTTGCGCCAGATGCCCGTGATGGATGGCTACGAAGCGACAAGGCGCATCCGCGAGGCCGAGAGCTGCTACGGGGTTCACACTCCGATCATCGCCTTGACCGCCCACGCCATGCAGGATGAGGAGCAGCGGCAGAAGACCATTGCCGCCGGGATGGACCTTCACCTGACCAAGCCCATGGAGCGGAGGAGCATCGCTGAAGCCATCCGTCGCGTGTGCGTAGTAGGTCAGGATTGACGCCGCGCCCAGTCCGGCCGTCCGTGTCTTGGCATCTAGGAATTGGGATCAGATCGCTGCTGCCCAGTGGCCACAAGTGTGAATCTTTGCACTGGTACTACGACCTTTTTGCGATTATTAGGCCAGTGAGTCAATTAAACAATGGAGAGTTCAGAACTTTTGGGTTACTCGACTAGTGTGATGGGTAGGTAGGTCGCGTGAGCATCGTTCGCGGCCGGAATCCTGGACTTAATCCGGCGATAGTTTTCTGATCCGCTTAAAATATATGGGGGGCGATAACAGATAACTCTGTCTGTATATGGTCCTTGGCATTGGCAATCATTGAGATTGGGGACGAATAATTCAGCCGTCAGAATCAGTATGTGCATGCGGAGATAATAGTATGGAACTGTTGCTGATAGTGCTCCATATGGACATTTCCAATTATTTTGGGGAAAAAAAGGGGTAGAAAAACTCAAAACAGTGCTTACCATTTTGTTAGAACAAATTGGCTCATCAAATTTGAAGATGACGAGTCTCGATGCTGTTCATTACTGTACAATAATTTTCAAACACAATTTAAACCAACTTGGATCTTGTGACACTTCTAAGAATAAACAACAATACAAGCATCTAGGCCTGTTTGGATTTAATGCGGAGAAATTTTTCTTTTTCTCTGTTTTTCATGTTGTGGAATTCCCATGGAATCTCCACCGTGCACCCGTGGGTACCCATTATGGTTTCATGCCACGATGCATAATCATTCGCCACTATGTCCATGCATAATCATCCAAGGACCAGTGGTTTTTCTTTCCAACTAATTTTTCTTAATGAGTAAAATTCATCGCCGATCCCTAAACTTCGCCAGCGGTGTCATGCAGGTCCCTGAATTTGTAAAGTGATATATGTGAGTCCCTATACTTGGCAAACTGTGTCATGCAGGTCCATAAACTTTCACGGTGATCACCGCATGTCTCTAAACTTGGCTAACGGTGTCATGTCGGTCTCGAACTTTCATAGTGATCACCGCAGGTCACTGTATTTGGCAAGCGGTGTCATCCCTGTCCAAATGTAATAATATTAAAAGTCACCTATAGTATTAAAAGTTTTCTCTATTAAATGTACTTCTAATTTTAGTATTATTTAAAAGTTTTAATAGTAGTATTATAGAAGTAATTTTTCTCTGTTATTAATAATATAACATTATTATTAAAACTTTTAATACTATAATACTATTATTAAAAGTTCTAATACTATAATACTACTATTAAAAGTAGTATAGTATTATAGTATTAATAGTAGAGAAAAGTTATTTATATAATACTACTATCAAAACTTTTAAAATAATACTAAAATTAGAAGTAACTTTTAATAGAGAAAACTTTTAATACTATAGGAATTTTAATATTATTTTAATATTATTAATGATACATAAATATTAAATTAATTTTAGTATTTTCTATTTTAGTTTAAACCTAATATATTTGTTTTTGAAAATTATTTTAATACATTAATTTATTTTTTGCTGATGTAAATTATTTTATATAATATATATTTTCATGATAAATAATATATAAATAATGATTGATTAATTGACATATGTTGGATCCACGTCTAACGTATAGTCAATGTGCCACGCTAGCTTATAGAGTAGGTTAGATCATATTTGGACAGAGATGATACCGCTTGTTAAGTTTAGGGACCTACGGTGATCACCTTGAAAGTTCAGAGATTGGGATGACACCGCCGGTCAAGTTTAGGGACCTGCTGTGATCACCTTAAAAGTTCATGACCTGGATGACACCGTATGCCAAATTTAAAGACCCATAGATACATCACTTTAGAAGTTTAGGTACCTGAATGATGGATCGGACACGCTTCTCCTCGCCAATCATTGAGTGAGGTGCGTCGGAGATCTCGCTCTAACCAACTCAAGTCATCTGTTGGTGGCCGAGCTGGAGGCGTGATCTCGCTCCCGTGCATGGCCCGCCATCCTCATCCGATCCAGAGACCAATAGGTCGGTGGCCCACGCCGCCCCGGGCCCGTTCCCCAATCCGGCGGCGAGCCGCGTCCCCGTCAGGCTGTCATCCCGTGGGCGCGCTTGCCGACGACCTGTGGCAGGACAAGCTCGCTCGTTCGTCCAATTCAGCAGGCGGCGGCTGTGGTGGTGTGGGTGACCACCTGCCCGTGATTTGATTAGTACTGTGGGTGCGCTGAACTGGGCTGGATGACCTGACGTGAGTGACCGGGTGCGAATGCAAGTGGTGCATGCATCGAGCCACAGCCGCCGTCCCGGCTGCGTTTGGTTGTTCTCGCTTGTTCCTTCCGAATTCGTATCGGATCGGATCTCTCGTTTCCGTGTGCCCGCCAGCCAACTAACCCCGGGATGGGCGATGGCATGGCGGTATCCCAGGCAGCCTATAAAACGGAGCGGCCCGCGCGGGACGCGCCTCCATCATCTGCAGTCGCCCTCGCACTCGCACGGGCGGACGAGCGGCAGCTTCGTTCTCCCAATCTCCCCTGCCTTTTTCCTGCCCTGCCGCCGCGCTTAATTAGCTTCGCTCCTTCCTCGGCCAGGACGTCGCTCAGATGGATTCAGCCGCGGTGCAGCACGGGTAAGCAAGCAAAGCAATCCATCCATCGATGATCGATCCAGGAACAACCCCATGACCTCATCTAACATAATTTTCTCTTTCTGTCTCTGTCTGCCAAACAAAAGCTGCGCGCATTACAGCCGTGGGTGCAGCGTCGTGGCGCCCTGCTGCGGCCAGGTCTTCGCCTGCCGCCATTGCCACAACGACGCCAAGGTGTGCGGCTCTTGTTCGGTTCATCTTCCCCTCTCGCTCTCCTCTCCATCCCGCAGCGCTTCCCTCTGCCGCTTTGCCTTTTTGGATAAACAAATGTCTGAAACCCTGGGCTTCTTCTGTGCCCGCAGAACTCGCTGGAGGTCGACGACCCGCGCGACCGGCACGAGATCCCCCGCCACGAAATCAAAAAGGTCAGCGTTCCCTACTCACCGTCTTGTGTAAAAACCAATCTCGTGCTTGTTTCTACCATTTGCTATCTTGTGTTCTTCCTTCTTTTTTCTAATGACCAAAAGAAGAAGAAGAAGAACGCCAACTTCTCCTTTCTCCATGTAGTTGAGTGCAACAGCTTACAGCTCCCGGTTTTCCTCTTTTGAAAATCCACGGTTCCGTTTCAATCTCGCCCTTTCGGACTATTGGTTTTCTCCACTGCGTCAGAAGGTTTTTTTTCCCCTATACTAAAATACTTTTGGGCAAGTTTTTAAATTTTTTATGTAGACGTAGAATTGTAAGCATGGAGCAGCTGCCGCCTGCCAGAAACCTTTTCCCTGAGATTTTTCCTTCTTCGAATAAGGACACATGGTTATACTACTAGCTTAGTGCTCTAGGGATCTTAGATTTTTGTTGGCCATCCCAGATTTTTTTTTCTCACCCTTAAGCTTCTTCAGATAAGGCCATATCAGCATAGTGGTCTCGGAATCGTTTCGTGTTGATACCCCTGTTCTGCACTCCACTTGTCACTGAGGCGTGTTGTCACTAGAATTTGGAAAAAATTGGAGAAATTTGTGAGAGAAAATCGAGTTGGATGAAAAAAACTGTGCTCTAAAAAAAATTGGCCACTTCTGCTGCAATCTGCTCTGTGCTCTGCACCAAGTGGCGGGCACTGTGTGGTCCACAAGATTTTTAAGCCCGAGTCACTCACGGTGGCACTAGAAGGACAGGCGCCTGGGAGATTGGAGAAAAGGGATACATACGACAGAGCCATATTTCACCATCAAATTGAACAGGGTCTAACTGCTTTGCAGCTGATTGAGTGATGTATACTTGAGGACCTGGATATGATCAGTGCCGTGTTTGCTATCTATACGATCAAGTGACGTGTCACAACAGGTGTACTCCCTCCGATTCTATAAAGCAAGTCGTTTTAAGGTTGTCTTAAGTCAAACATTTTAAACTTTGACTATAAATAATTTCTTTTGGGTTGAGTTTGAAAATATGAAAGTGATGTAAGTAGATTCATCTCGAAATGTAGTTTCATAAAAGTATATATTGACTATATTTTATAGATATTTTATAGCAAAGTTGCGTAGCAAAAAGTTGTTCTTAAAAGGCGTGTCGATGTAAAACTGTGTATTTTAAAAAAACTTTTATGTAAGACTCGGAGGAGTATTGGACATAGTAGCAGTGAATTTGACGTCGATCGGCTAAAGCAATCATACTCGATCCTTATTCTTTTTCTGGATAGTAGGGTACGCATGTCTGGTTGTTGTTTGCCTTCAATTAAGCAGGAATATAACGGCCACCCAAATATTTCCTTGTCCCATTTCTAAACAGTGAAGAATTTTGTGGCAATTTGGGTCTAGTGTTCTGTAACTTCTGATCATTGGTTAAAAGTTACTCCAAAACAACATTGGAGTATTTGGTTTTTTTGGAGAGTAAGGTGTAAATGCCTGATTCTTGTTCTCCTCAAATTCGTCCGGCTATCCGCAATAAACGTTCCTATCCTGTTTCTTGATAACGCATATATGTTGTTTCAATTCATGTAATTATATTATACATTTCATTTGTTTTTTTTAAATCTGAGTGACCATGGACACAGCATGCCTGTTCTTCTAGATAATGATTTCAGTAACTGTTCTTTTTTTTTGTCACTGAAATAATATGAATCAAGACTGTGGACTTACTGAAACTGTTCTACAGGTGATATGTTCTCTCTGCTCCAAAGAACAAGACGTAAGTTGTCTACCAAAAAGTACTACAACCAATAGTGTCTCAGGAACATTCATCTTTGGTTGTACTAAAGGCCTTTGTTTAGTTCCTCCTCAAAACTTTATATCCTATCACATTGAATGTTTGGATATATATATGGAGCATTAAATATAGACTAAAAAATAACTAATTATATAAATTGCGACTACTTTGCGAGACGAATCTTTTAAACCTAATTAATTCATGATTTGATAATAAAGTGCTACAGTAACACATGTGTTAATGATGGATTAATTATACTTAATAAACTGACGGATTCTGTAATTTATTTTTTTATTAATATCCAAACACCCCATGCGATATCTCATGTTATATCCAAAACTTTACACCCTAGATCTAAACACCACCTAACTGCATGAAAACTGCTCATTTCCATCGACAGGTGCAACAGAACTGCTCCAACTGTGGGGCCTGCATGGGGAAATACTTCTGTGAAATATGCAAATTCTTCGACGACGATGTAAGCGTACTTAAATCCCAGATGATGAATACGAATTTAAATTTTATACGTCAGTTGCTGCATTTACATAAATATCCCGTGCTTCCTAATCTGACAAACATACTGATCTGTTCCAGATCTCAAAGGGCCAATACCATTGTGATGGATGTGGCATATGCAGGTAACTACCATACTGACAGCTATGTCTTAGACTTACCGCTCAGAAGTCTAAAATTTTGCTAATTGTTGAAAATGATAAATTTGGATTCCTCATCTTCTTTATTCAGAACCGGTGGTGTCGATAACTTTTTTCACTGTGATACATGTGGTAAGTTTATGTACGAACTTCTTTCTGCTAAGATTCCATTACATGTTGTGCAACAAAGATTTCACTCGCACTCCTGACGCCTTGTTGCCAATCCGACTCGCAGGGTGTTGCTATAGCAATGTCTTGAAGGATTCCCACCGCTGTGTCGAAAGAGCAATGCATCACAACTGCCCTGTCTGCTTCGAGGTGAGAGACCCCCATTTGAACAGAACATCACTGAACTTTCCTGTTTCTTGATCTTGAAAAAGATCTCCCTCCCTGCTTTTACAGTATCTGTTCGACTCCACAAAGGATATCAGTGTGCTGCAATGTGGGCACACAATTCATCTGGAGTGCATGAACGAGATGAGAGCGCACCATCAGTAAGTGTACCGTTCTCTTCAGAGTTCAGAAACAATGTCACCTGACCTGACAAGTGATAGCATCCTCTTTTAGTCACGATGATCTCAGCCTTGTTTGATCTTTCGCAGCTTCTCGTGCCCGGTATGCTCGAGGTCTGCCTGCGACATGTCCGCCACGTGGCGGAAGCTTGATGAGGAAGTTGCGGCGACGCCAATGCCTGACATCTACCAGAAGAAGATGGTAACAAACTGACCGCTCTCAGAACATGCACGGTTGTTTGACGAGCCTGAACCTGTCTGGGTGCCGATTGCTGAAGCTGAACAACAAATGAACGCTGTTGATGCAGGTATGGATCCTATGCAACGACTGCAGCGCGACCTCGAGCGTGCGGTTCCACGTGCTGGGGCAGAAGTGCCCCGGGTGCAGCTCCTACAACACCCGGGAGACGAGGGCCGTGTGCCCCAGGATGTGAGGCGGACGAGGCCGAGTGGCAAACTCCCAGCCTTCCAGGGAGATGTCGTCCAACGACTAGCGGCGATCGTCCCGCGCTAAGGGTGACGCGAGACCAGGCCGGGCAGTCCAGTCTTGAGTTTGGTGCTGGAGCATTTGCGATATTCCTGTAATGCGTCCGTGAGTGCTGACCAGGCACACCTGTGTGGATCATGGCCGGCGCAAGGGCCGTAGGAAAGCTGCAGGGTTAGGCAGATTAGTGGGGCTGTTCTCTGTTCACGTTTACATCATTATTGTCCCTAAACATAAGTGTTAGACTAGAAATCGGATGTTGCAGAAGAGTTGGACGAAGCTGCATAAAAAAATCGTCTCTCAACAAGATAGTTGGCCAGAAACGATAGATTCACAGACCTATCCAGTCATCCAGAGCTGACAATGTGGAGAGGAAAGGCCCACGAGACGTAGCGGCCGTCGAAACGCTCTGCCACAACAGTATTTCAATAGAGTAAAATTGTTTTCACACTAAGATGCTCTTATCTGAATGACATGCTGGGCCGCTTCTCAACTACTCCAAGACATACTCTATATCCTTCCTAATTGCTAGATATGAAGATTTTGACGAAAAAATTACCCTCCAACAACTTCTTTATTTGGTTATCTAGATATACCCATCTTCTATTCCGGATTTCTGGCCAGCCAAAGACAATGAGAATGACTCTCTAAAGTGCAAACAAGCTATAGAGAATTTTTTTAGAGAGCGGAACGATATAAAAATGATTTTTATGCAAATAGCTCTCTAAATGATGATTTAGAGAATGAGGTTTAGAAAGACTCTTGGAGATGCTCTTATACGTAAACCGTCCAACCATATTAATATCATTTTTTTCCTTAAAAGGATTCCATCAAATTATTACACAAATACTTTCTAGTATGCCGATGCTATGCTAAAACTGTAATTAAGGCATCATTTGGTATGACTCTACATGGCTCCGGCTCCTCATTGTAGTGTATGGATCGGAGCAGCCGAAGCCAATGAACCAAAACAGTAATTTTATCGTCTTCTAATTTATTTTGATAGGAGAAATAAAAATAGTTGCTTACTACAGTGCACTAAGGAGCCAGGGCCAAAGCCAATTGAAGCTCCACCACAGTATATTTACCTAGAATCCTAGCTTTTTAGTTGGCATTTACAAAGTTTCTACAGCAAAAAAAAATTCTGAGGATCAATCGCAAAATCTGGGCCTCGCGTTATTGTCCCTCAGAGCCCATTATTTGATGGGTCTAACCGCACGTTCCAGAATAGGCCTCGTTAGTTACTTAGACTCGATGGGTTTGCTTTAGAGTTTAGCTCAAGAAAAAAGAGCAATCTGGTTGATTTGAAACCTTTTCTTTTTCGGTAATATTATGATTATGGCGTCCGGACGCCGGACACTACGTGACCTCACCCAGTCACCTTCTCCACATATTATATCCACCACACAAATATATGATACTCCATCAGGTGACCACTTAGACTTATCTTCTCCGGTTCCATCTCGTCTCCTCTGTCTCTCCATTCAAAACAACAGGGAGATGAAGGATGTCGTGGGCTTGTGTATCTCCTCACCATCTCGAAATCACGTAGCCACCCACCGTGCGTGTGTCACAGCCATACCCACCCATGTGCCGCCGGCAAGCTTCACGCGTGCTGCCCGCTGACATCTATAACACCCTCGGTGTTACGCCCTAAACCAACTACTAAATCATGTCATGAGCATTGTGTTTGTGTAATAATGCATGTGATAGAAGGTGTTGATAAATTCTTGTAGCCTAAAATAATCAATAAAAATATTAAATCAATGTTGATGTAATAGCTCATGTATATCAAATAGGGTCTAAAACCAATTTTTATTAAGCAAAAATGTTATAGAACATATATATGACACCTTAATAAAGTTTGAAGTACATACTTTGTAGAAGATAGAGTGCAACTTTTGTTTTAACATGATAATAACGCTAGCTAATATTTCTAATAGCTTGGAAATCAAATTTGAAACAAACATCAGCCAAGACTAAGTCAATTTCCTAAGTCTGAAAAACAGGATGACAAGGCTATATTTGGGGATTTATTCTGAGAAAATTAGTTAGAATATGGTGTCACGTGTACTCTCTTTTTGATAGCCTAATGTGTTCTCCGTGATGTAGCAAAGGTGGTTTAGTCTCAACTCGCATGGATTAATTGCTACACACGCTTTAAAATTCATGCACAATGCATGTCTTGAGCTGGCTGTCCCTGTGTGTGCGGTCACCTCGTGCGGGAACTCGGCGTCGCCATGCTTGGGTGCACCACGTGCACGCGCACTGCCACGCGTTGGCCGACCGAGGCCGTCTCGGCCTAGCCGTGGCTCGGTTGTGCCTTGGCCACTCTAGACGCAACGCCTGCTGCCGGTCGGGCGCGGGCCACGGTGCTTCATTGCCGCCGCACCGCACATCGCCTCCCCGCTTAGCTCTCAGGCTTGCCGCTGTTGCCTCCGCCTCGCCTTCGCTGAGCTGCTGCTTGTGACCCTTCCCCGTCGTGTTGCGCATGTGGGCTTGCCTCTTCTTCCCTGTCGAAATGCTCGACGCTCTACCATTAATGGAGCTGCGGCCGCATTCACGCCGCGCTACCCCACCGCCTGCATGTGCACGTTTTGGCTTTGGCGCCAGAGCACGTGTCGCTCTAGTCACGTCGGTCGCGTCTCGCCAAGCCGACGTCGCGTCGAGTTCTAGTATTCCCCTCCCCTCTCTTCTCTCTCCCACCATGGCCGACTGAGCCACGACTTTAAGTACGACAGGGAGAGGTCATCTCGGCTCGTGTCATGGTGTCTCTGGCGCCACCATCAAACCGCCTAGCTAGCTGTCCTCACCTCGCCTTGATTGGCGCCCAGCCGAGCTCCAATTTTGGAGCTTTGCCCCGCCACCGTGTCGTTAAGGCCGAGCCGCCCATCACCGTGGGCAGCTCCCATCAGACCGCCTGGAGCCAAATTGGCTGCACCGCTAAACTCGCCTAGAACCCCTCCTCGCCATGCGCACCTGAGCCATACCCCTACCGCTGTCCCAACGCTGCTGACGCGGTCGTGTCCGCCATGGCTCATCGCTGAGCTCACCGCGTCTACGTGGCCAGCCTTGCCCAGGGCGTCTCCGGTCGAACCATCGCCTCCGCCAGGACCGTGGTGAGTCCCTGATACTCACCCGCTATCACTACTGCCCCACGTGTGTAGCAGCTCACCAGAACGTGACCGCCACCGCTGTAGGTTGCCCGCCGCCGTGGGGGAAGCCATCGTACCTCGTCTCTGGCCTCCGAACCGCGGCCCGGTGCCACGCGTCGACCCCTAGGTGAGCATCGACCCTCTAGGTGAGGCGTGGAGGTCCCTAGTTGGCCGACGTGACCACCTTATGCCGACCGATGCCGCACCGGCGAGCGCGAGGGTGTCAGGGACCTATCCGTTGTAAAGAAGAGGAAATGCGAGGGCCTTTGTGCATAAGTGCTGTATCTAGGAATAGTAGTGTGGACCGCAAGTTGTTTGTCCAAAAGCCAAGGGCTTTTCTGCAAGAGCGTCAGTGCGCCTGTGGGATCCCCGCGTGGGCCGTCTTCGCGCGCAGGCCAAGCCCGAGTTGGGCCGTTTTGGTCTTTTTCTTTTTCTAGCCGAATTAATAAATCTTTTCTATTTCAATTCTGAGTTAGATTTGTATATTTAATATAAATTCGTACGAATGTTCAAAAATCATGAAACAAATTTTGTTAGGTTTCTAAAATTGTGATCTATCTACTAGTATATTTTGTTCACGTAGTTTTATAATATTTTTAGGATTTATATAATTAATTTGAGATGATTAATATTATAAGATATAAACTTGAAGGAATTTTTATGATAAATTGGTGATAATGTTGGCTCTGAAACTTTCATAGTAAATCCCTAACATTATTAGGTGCTCACAGTAATTTTTGTAGCTCGATAATAATTAGTTTGCTAAGGTAGCTAAATGAGCCTTAGTTTGAAAATATATATTTAATCAATAAAATATCAAAGCACCTTGGGATTTTTAAACTAGAACATTTTTTCGGAGACAAAGCCTTACTTGACGACGTGGATACGGAGACCAGTATGTTACTCATTAAATCTGGCTCGTTAGCTTGCGGAGCGTAATCGTATATTTAAGAGTTGCGATTACCGTTGATTAATTGCGCATCGAGATTGTATCCACGTATATCATAATAGGAACAACGATGGATCATGGAGTCGACTGAAGTAGCGAAAAGATGATGCCTTGATGATCGTGTCACTATGATGGAATGCAAACTTTTGGTTATATCTTACCAGGCAAGCCCCGGTGCATAACCCCTATTATTGGGAACCTAATACCGGGGTACCCAAAGAGATGGAACTAAATAACCATCGAACGTTTAAAACTCCCGAACGGACAAGAGCACCGCTGCGCTTCTTGCCCGAACGACGGGAGTTTTGGTTCCGCCTCACCCGATGCCCATCAGCCAGCTCCACCTCCCCCGATGGCTAGGGAATGGCTCCACCTCACCCGAGGGCTGAGGGCTAGACTCCGCCTCGCCCGAGGCCCGTCGGCCGGCTCCGCCTTCCCCGATGGCTGGGGGACGGCTCCGCCTCGCCCGAGGGCTGAGGGCTAGACTCCGCCTCGCCCGAGGCCCATCGGCCGGCTCCGCCTCCTCCGACGGCTGGGGGACGGCTCACGCCTTGCCCGAGGGCTGAGGGCTAGACTCCACTTCGCCCAACCCCTGAGGGCTAGGCTCCATCTCGCCCGACCCCCGTGGGCTAGGCTCCGTCTTGCCCGACCCCCAAATGCTAGGTTCCATCTCGCCTGATGGACCTCATCCCGCCCGATGTCTAGGGATTGGCTCCGCCTCGCTTGACAACCGCACCCCGCTCCCTCATGATGATAGGCACAGGGTAAGACAAGATGTTCAGGTCAACCATGGCACCAAAAGACCATGTCCTGCGCCCCTGCAGGAAAGTAGCGTCAGGACATGAT